CACGCTTGTCCACAATCTCATGGTAGACACTCCGTGCACGTTGTATTAAATATATTTGAGGGTATTTATATTAAAACAAAAAATATCGAGTGTGAATTTATAATGAATAACGTTTTCTACAATATTATACAGCAGACTGTCGTACCCACACTTCGTTCGAGGTAATTTACATACAACCGATCCCCATATTCTTTACAAGTGCGTAATAATTGCTATAAATTTTAATTGCACTTTAGTTTTTAACATTCTAACCTTTTGCGTAATACTATAGAATTTTCACTAGGTCATTTTCACAAAAAATTTTGCTAAACCAACTGTTTTTAGCAGTATTATCATCGAAGTGTACTGTAGTTTATGCAGTTCATGCTGAAATATATACTTGATGTTGCATTTTAACACAGCTCTTAATGTTCTCAACTTAGTGCTTCGAGGAATTTTGCTTTTCGTGATTCCATTGTGAGGACACGGTAGCTCACACGTGTGGGTCACGTTGTTTTTTGAGTGATCTCACAAATGGTTGGAAAATGGAAATCTGAAGGATTTCCACAAAAATATTTGTGACGTGACTTATGACACCATTCCATAAAGAACCGTTTAAAATGAACGCAGTACGAAACGTGTAAGAGCGTTTTTTGCGCGCTACGTGTGATTTGTATCAGGGGGGCTACTCTCGATCTCCGTCCGACATCCGTCCGAAACAATTACTGCCAAATGAGCAACACTTGATCAAATGAAAAGACGCGTGATGCGAATGGAGCTTCGTATTGGATACTTGTCTTTTAATTTTGTCGAGTATTACTTTATTAATTTGACAGTAATTGTTTCGAACGGATGTCGGACGGTTCCGAATCCGAGAAATGATGGTCCGAAATATCACAGGGATCATTTTATTATATCTAAGTGTACAAGCGATATTCGTATTTTCTCGGATTTGAATCGGACTTAGTGCACAAGCGACACCCGAAGTGGGTCAGTTTTCTAGATTTGTAGTCTCGGATTTGGAACGAATACGAATTGAATACAGTGCGCAAAACGCGTTAAGACTAAATTTTATACTCTACTTCTGAATATGATCTTAAGTTCTTAAATCTTTTAAAATAAAAAGATTACACTGTTTACGGTTGTACAATCATACATGGATCACTTCGATGAAAAGCTGGACATTTTGTAGAATATAAGTTCCAATTCAACCCCGCAGTACATATTAAGGCAAGGTCATTTGATACCGTATTTATTCTACAGAATAGTAATAAAATTGATCTTAGACATTACAGACACGAATCAGTTCTAATTTTGGCCTAACATGACAATGTAACGTCATGTTGCTTCACAAACATAGTACCATATTAATAACCAAAAGTGTTCAAATCATACATGCTTTATTAATAAAAAATTTATAATTTCACAAAACGCATGTCCGTAACTGGTATACAATACAACTGTTTTCTTAATATATCCAGGCAATCTTCGTGTTTTGTCTGTTATCGGTTTCCTTTCAAATACCCTTTGAACTTGGTGCAGACCAGATGCATTCAAGCGACTTGGTAGTATAACATACATATAGTAGGTACAGTAGTACCTATTTTCTATATCAGATAGAAAAAATAGCACCAGATTCTACTGAGTTTGAAAAAACATATATACGCGATTTAAATCCGGAAAAATAGTTTCATTTCCTATGTGTAACAATAGCGAAAACCTAAGAACTCGATAGATTCTAACTTAATTGAAAAAAATATATATATTATATTCGGTAAAGACTACAGATTTATTTTTAATTATGTATAGAAAATAACATTTTATTTACTTTATATTTTTGTTAATTTGTTTGGCATATTGTTAAAAAGTAAATGTCTTTATCAAAAATGGAAATAATTTTACAGCTCTATATACTTTAGTTTACATAGAAATCAAAACAAAACAACACTAAAGTACGTATTTCTGAATTAAAATTATTATAGATGATAAATCTTATAATTACTAGACATGGATTTATTTTATTCAGGTGCATTTGGAAACCCGAAGATTGTCGAGAAGCAAAAAGTAGTTGTACTGTACTTGGCATACTTTTTACGTATGCGCACATGTTAGTTACTTTGCATGTGCCAGCTAAAGGCATGTATATCTTGGCCTTGAAAAGGTTTAATGAAATTTTGTTTAGTAGGCAGTTATATTAAGCGTTAAAATCGGTGCCAGTATTCTTTGCATTGATTTGCAAATATTACATGGCTACTTCATACTAGCACAAATCTTTTGGGCGTGTCTTTGTAAAAACATACCGAACAAAAGTAGGCAAGACAATATCAGACGCACGAGAGTAAAGATGACCAAACTGACAATAGATATCTCTTTCACTTATTTACTTTATGAGTATTGTTTATTCACTCGCATTTATATGAAGCCCTGTCACCGAGATAGAAGCCAAAAGAGCGCAATAAGAACTTAGAGCGCCCTGAAGGCCCTAATAACGCACATTTACTATGTTTCTGATAAAAATTATTCCGGCAGATACTCTGCCTTGTATTTATTTCATGAGCGCTATAGCTTTTTATATAAATATACTAGGGTTGTATAGGTCAAAGTACCTTCCAGAATATTCTTTTATCAGAAATTTCAAATGACTGTCTGAATGGATGACGCGCCCCACGCTAAGCAAAGGTTCGGATTCAGACAGGCCGAGAAGATTCGTACACATTTTTAAAGGAAAAGAAAAATATATTTTCTGACACAAAATATTAGAAGTATTAGAACAGAAAGTATGTAGAATGTTCAGTGGACCTAAGGACTATAGAAAGTACTGGGAATGTTGTTTCCCAAGACTTGGACGTGATTAAAATCAAGTAAATTGTGATGTGCACTATGTCCACTAAAAGAAAGTACAAAATAGTCAGATGGTCCCGACCTAGCGTTAGTAATAGACGACTGAATTTGAGATTTTATACTTTGTAGGGTATATTATAGTTTGAATTGGAAATCACTGACAAGAAACTATACTTCGATTTTTAATTAGAAAAACTGTAAACAAAGAAGCAGTGATAGTAAACCTTTCTCTTAAAGGAAAAAAACATCGTGAGAATTGATGACAAATGACATAAACAAATGACACGATAATATGTTATTATTTTATAAACCAGTTTCTGTTCCACGTTTGGAATGTATGCTTCCTTAATATTTTTATATTTCATGTCAGTGAAATAAAGTTAAAAAGAAATTTACTTTTAATATTCAGTGAATGTTATAATTACATAAGGGTAGTAAAATATTGGAGAATGCGTTTTATGTTATTAAATAAATAGGTTTGCTTACCAACGAAATCGCGTCTGATAAGACTCAAAAATTTTTTTACATCTTATGTTAAAAAACAAGGTTCTCGGTTCACCCGGCACGCATTCAATGTCTTATATTAACGGGTAAAAGTAAATATGAGGTTACATTATTCACAATGCATTCTCAGAGATGCATGGACGTACAACAGTGAGGAAGTTAGTTTCATTAGGTTCATAATTTGTCATAAAATAATGCAGGCATTTGTCATTAAAAAAAACATTGTGATAACGCAACGTTTAAACAATTGAGACCTATACAATAATAAGGGTAAGAGCTAAAATTCAGTCGCCCATAACAACTATTACAACTTGTATAACATCGAAAGCCAAAAGCAAGATACGCACTACGGTGTCCGTAATCTGTTTATTACATTATACTTGAATCCATACAAAAATCAACATCCAATCAAATAATGTATAAAGTACTCTCCATTTATGTACAAACATTTTGTAAAACGTCATTATGTACATTGTTTTACAGTAATTTATAAGTAGCTTGATTGTTTACGGATTGTTTCTTATTGGTTCTGTCATGGCGCGTGAAAATGCCATAAATAAATATTATATATCGATATTATTAGGGCTAGCACGACAGACGCGTCTTGCGCGAGAGTGGCTTAAAGCGCGAGATCATATAGCGTGCTAGCACTACAAATTAACATCTGAGATATTAGTTGTTCAAGCTTAAATTATCATTAGTAAGTAGCTCGCATGGCGCCTTTACGATTATGACGTCACCAATGAATACATATCGATAGCTTTGTAGAACAGCCTCCTACCTCAAAAGCGTCTAATAATCAGGGAGATGTTTAAAAAAACATCAGAGACGTGTCTCTGAATGTGAGTAGTCGGTTAGCTTAATGTTTTCGTGTGATAACTTTAATCAATTAAAAACTCGGTGTCTCGTTCACAATGAATTTCAGTAATATAATAAGTCAAAAAGGGGACTATTTTGAATTGGGCCGCTACTCTCTAAAAACAGAGATATATTTTTGTATTACATCAAGTAAAGGGTCAAACTGAGGCACTGTACTGCAAGTCTGTAGTTTCACCAGAACCATTACCCTTCAAAACCGGAACGCAATAATGCTCATATTACTGCTTGGTGGCAGAACTAGGTATGATGAAACTTTATTTCCGTTTCTTTTTATCTCCTTAACGAATTTCAAATGCATTTTCACAGTTTTAGTACTGAGTATAATCTTATTTTCGTTACTTGTCGAGTACAGTATTGAGTTAAATTTAAAAATTATTGTTTATTTACTACTGTGTAGCAAATTAGTTTTTTAATATATTATAATTTGGGATACACCTACTGTTATTATTTCTAGTTTTGCTTAATTTGAAATTAGATTTGTTATAAAAAGGCTTTTTTATGATTGAGTTTTTCGTTTATGAAATTACAAATGTACCAAGTTATATCATAGATATCTATTAAAGAAACAATCAAGCTACTAACAGACATAAATTTAATTGTCATAGTGCAAGCGTGCGGTTAGCTATAACTCATTTAACTCGTAATAATCTATAGCGTTCGCCCCCGCGTTCATTTGATTACAAAATGCATTTACTCTCAATTTTCTACCTTATTATACAAACTTGGAGGTAAACATTAAATTAATAATAATAATAATAAAAATTATTTTACTCTAAGTAATCAATAATTTCAGTTTGCTTTCGTTTTAAATAACATAAAAAATAATCAAATATCTCAATACAACAAACTTCTAGTTTCTTTTTAATAATTAATTAAATAATGGAATAATTGATTTGTTATGTGACAATAGGTTGTTCACTCGATTTTTGCTAACTAATTATTGTGGAGTCCTTTCGTCTCGGACAGTTTTTTTCCCTGCACCGTACACTGTTCAGTTCAACTGTATTGACACTGGTTCACAATGGAATTACAAGATCCGACGGCACTCGCAGCTTACTTAACTTAAATGGCATCGATATCCTCACCTGGAAAGATTATATACCCAATAAATAATTTGTTATAACGTTTTAAATATATTAAGGCACACACGCACACACTCAACATAGCCCCGCACTAGGGAAACCCTGTGTCGCGGGTGCCATGAACACACACATAGACAACCACAAATTACACCCAAACTCACGGGAGAAATAAATGTAGGTCATACAAATATTTCACCGGCCCGGGAATCGAACCTGGGACCTCTGCGTGGCAGTCCGGCATGGTAACCGTACGGCCATGGAAGCAGTTAAAGATGCATTTATGATATTGAATGAGGTAGACGGAGAATTAGATTACTAAGGATCAAACCCGTAGAGCCCGGAGGATCAAGTTATTAATTTCAAAACATTTGTTTTCGGAATTTTTTATATAATAACAAGAATAAATCTTTATTGAGTCAAGACAATTGCATGGTATCTTGAAATTAAGGAAACAAGGAACATTTTAAAATAACGTTGAATTCTAGAGCCTGTACTAGTTTTAAATAAAACTAATTGATATCAGAATCAAAGATAAAATTTACTGTTAAAATTTGATTTTAATATTTATTATATGACTTGCATTGGTAATACAGAAATTGAATACAAAGTGGAAATTTGAAACGGGTCAGCAAGAGCCTACCTATACCGTCTGTAGCTATACAGGGAAATGATCCTAGAAGGCTGACCATGAAATTTGAAGATATTTCAATTCGCATTTACAGATTTTGAAAGAATAGTAATATTTTTTTAGATCGCTGATATTTCTAGTACTCCTACCTTAGTTGGTTAGTTAGTTTTCTACACCTAATTTCAATTTGCAATTTTTATTGTTTAAATATTATTATCGAGTTAAGTAACCTGAAATATTATTATTTCACAATAATATATTTCAATAATAAAAACTGCCACCGAAATCAGGTAGATAAAAGTAACTTGAAAATGACCCAAGATGCCATGAAAAGTTTCGTAAAAGTTTACTTTTATCTCGCGGATTAATGATTGTGTCATTTCTTCAAAATTCATGGTGAGGTTCTAGGACCGTTTACTTTTGGCGGTTAAGGTTGCCGTCCTTGCTGAACCGCCTTAAATTTCCACCCTGTATAGTCTTTTTAGCATTATTTTTTAGCAAAGCGCATAGTAAAATTACACAAGTATCATTTTACCTGTAGAGAATATAAATATGGTAGCATTTTACCGTGGCAAATGCAGGCGGCTGTGGACGCTTGCCGCCTACTCCGCAGCTCATAATTTGTGGTTGCTCGTAAGCCACGTGAGGCCCTCGTAGAGCCCGTCGCCTGTCGTCGCACACGAGGGTTGCACGTACCAGTTGCGGTCCCTGATGCGCGTCAATCCCAACTTCTCTTGTATTTCGTGTGGTTTCATCGCTGAAGATAATAAGAGCAATATGTTAACTTTAAATTTAAGTAGAAGATATTAAAAAAAATCACGTAAAACCCGTCACGCCTCCTACGGACGCATATACGTGTGTAATGTAACGACTGTGGTAAAACAATTTTTTTTGGAACTTTTTATAAAATAAGTATATATTTTTTATGCATTTTTATAAAAAAAAATTTTGATGATATTTTATAAATTGATATATTTCTTTTTTTTATTTAATTTTTAATGAAAATACAGCTGCGCAGAAACACCGTGTAGCTTTAGAACGCTAAGGTATGAAAATCGTTAGGGAAACTGTGTATCTCTAAATCGTTAGACGTGTATGCATGACGAGTAACAACTTTATCTTATACATATTTTTTGTAACAATACTCCACTATTTGTTATTAGTATTAATACAAAGATCGAACAAACTCAAAAATTCCTGAAAACGAATTATTTATATCACATTTATTTATTTTATTTTATTTAATTCAATGAACAAAGTTTCAACAGCATTCTTATACTTATTTGACAAATGTGTTTAAGCAGTACAAAAGCCAATTACAGAAACTCACTATGTATACAATTTTATTTATGTATTTATTCATGGAAAACCAAAAGCTTCAAACATTGAATAAAAGCAGGAAAAGAAACATACAGCCAATGACAGGTTTTCACCTATAGTTTCATACAAATCAAACACGAGCATTAAACAAAAGAACAATAAACAATATTTCTTATACAACATGCACTTACATAAAACCCAACACCTGCGCTAATCATAGATTATTCAATCAAATTAAATAGAATATCCGTGAGTTTGCGCTTTAGCGCATCATAATAGCTGTAGAGATCTTTGTAAAAGAATTCGTTCTGGAAAATACTGCTGCCAAGCAGTAATGTGAGCATTACTACGTTCCAGTTTAGAAGGGTAAGGGTGCTGGTGAAATTACAGGTACATGGGACTTCTCAACTTATGTTTCAGGGTGACGGGCACAGTGGCAGTGCCCATTAAGATCTTTGCGACTTAAAGCTCTTAGTGGCACTGCTACTGTTATAGATAGGCGTGTCGCTTACCACCAGACGCGCAACTTGTTTGTCCTGTCATTTAGTATTATAAAAAAAAAGAAAATAAACATTACAATTGAATATATCAACATCCAGGTCACGATTGCTCAGCACACTATCCAAGCCCTTGCTAGCTCTACATAGAAAACTATTTTGTCTATAATTAATCTCCCCATCGGAACTGCTATAGGGTGATAGTGTCTCATAGAACGCCTAGGTACATTAAACGAAATCACCAACATAGAACATAAATCCTGAATCGAACTCCATAAGCAACTTTTTGTTGCCAAAGTTGTAAGTTATGTCGTCTTGTGATAAAGGGGACGAAGTAACCTGTGGGACGCTGGAGGGGACCGGTCCCTTCTGTCAATATCGCAACCCCAATAATAAAGCGACGAAATTCTTAACTTAATATTTTCGGGAAACTGATGAAATAGATTTAAAAAATAACGTATTAGATAAAACTTATATCGATGACATTCTAGAACAGCGGCCTATCTCAAAATGAACAAAATTCATCGGGACACATCTAACGTCAAAAGCTGATGAATTGTACACCGGTCCACGTTCTCACTTGTTTAATTTAATCAATAAAAAACTTGGTGTTTTTGACAACAAAATTTTAGCACATTCTGAATAGTCTGAATAGTTGTAGTTATAGAGGTGTAGTAGAGCCAAAATAGCTCATATAGTCTTACTAAACAGCTGCATAGTAAGACTATTTTGGCTTGCGCCACTTTTAGCGGCAGTAAAGCTCGTTGCGAGAGTTCGTCCAGGGAAGTACTGCCACCTTACCTATTTCTGCCGACAAGTATTACTCCGTTCCGGTTTTCAAGGTTAAGGGTCGCCAGCACCCTTAACCATTGAAATTAAAGGTACGTGGGACTTGTCAACTTATATCTCAGGGTGACGGGCGCAGTGGCAGTGCCCCTCAGATCTTTGCGATTTACAGATCTGAGTGGCATTGCAACTGTTATGGACAAGCGTGTAGCTTACGATCAGGCGCACGACTCGTTCGTCCCGTCACTGGACATTATTTAAAAAAAATGTATGTCGTTTTACATACCAAGTAGTATTCTGACGTCTGACGACGTCAATGGCACGATGGTTTGCATTGCGAGAGGATTGAGTTCGATTCGCTGTAGGATTAATTAGGAAAATAAACTTTTCCATATTTTACTTTTCCATCCATAATTCCTTGGTTCTGTTCTGGTTGGGTGTTCTAGGTAGTGCTCAGAGTATAGGGAATTGACTTAGTTTGAGACTAGTAGGGCTAACACAACAGGGTGCGCCTTAGAGCGCGTTCCCATTATATCGTAATGTTTTATTTATCGTTGGACTGTCACGTCTACCCTGTTCCCATATCACGACTATCTGTCATGACCATGACTACGTCATGGACGTTAATTTTATCGTTGAAGGACGTGTCTAGCTGTTCCCACGAGTTCGTGTAGACAATTTGTCAGTTCACGGCAGCCGCCTTGTCATTTGTACGACAGAATCGTTTGAAGCTCCGATTGTCTGTCGCCACACTTTATATCGTGACAATTTATTTAACGTCAGACGACTGTCGTTCAAGTTCTTCCCATTGTCACGACAGTCTGTCGTTGTAACGTCAAAAAAGTCGTGAACGACAGTTAATCGTGTTGTTCTATGTATGAACAACTTCATTTAAATATACAAGATATGACACTTTAAACTGCACGACTATGTGTCGTCACGACATAATGGGAACGCGTCTTGAACATGAGAGCGACATAAAGCGCGAGATACAGCTATTCTCGAATAGAATACAGCTCTACAATTAAATTACTAGAAGTGGCGTCTAGCACATTATTACATTCATTATTATTCATTTAGTTATATTTGCACTATCCAAATAACATATTTGTCTGGTGACACGTACGTTATCGTTTATAAATATATATATTTTTAAGTTTCTTCAAGTGTTTATTATTGAGGGTGCCACATGTCGGAAATCACGGGAGGGGAACACTCACTGTGTCGGTTAAAATCAGGGTCCATATGAGTCAAACGTTATAGGAGTTTTACTTCGTGCAAAATTGAGCACGAAGTACGATAAAAAAAAATATTTTGTTTTTGTCAAGTCTACCTTAAAGGCATGAAATTTGTGTTCAATTATCCACGCTTTGACACGCCTGTAACGGAATTTTTAACCGACTTCAAAAAAGGAGTTGGTTCTCAATTCGACTGCACGTTGTTTTTTTAATGTACATTACGCAATAACTCCAGCATTTGTGAACCGATTTTGATGATTCTTTTTTTCTTGGAAAGAGGGTACCTCAGTTGTGGTCCCTTTAAATTTGAAGAAAATATTCCACCTCTAAGGGTGGGAAACTAGGGGATGAATGACTTTTGAGGTCGGCCGTTTTACCACTATGTACTGATTTTTTCGGTTGCGTGTCAGAACCATACTATAAATTCATTGATAATATTGTATGTTATAGTCATAGAAAGCCAAGTATTCTATGTATAGACTAGGTTTTGTTTCAGCAACTTCCACGCCTACTTATGAATATTGTAGACTCATAATATTTGAAGGCAATCGAGTAAAGGTAGCCACTTCGGTTAAACAATCTATGACAGCAGCGGCATTTTAAACCATTGATGTTTTTATTATCTAGATCTAAATGTATTTAAACTTTTCCAACTTTTCAATGCACACAAGGACATACCCAAAGTGCTATAACGTCGCCTTACTTTCTCAAAGTCGTATCTTAAAACACAAAGTTACTGAAATACAAAAAATGGATTGTATATACGCTGTATATATAGTATTGCAGGCTGATTTCACATTACATTTCCTTCGTGTTCACACACTGGCTTTTCCATAGGTATTCTTAAATAACACCCTTGATAAGAAATTTAAAATAAATAGAAAGTTTTGCCATATTCTGAATAATCACTCTTTATAAGATACGAGTTTGAGAAAGTAAGCCATCGATAAGGTATAATACTACAGTAGGTAATACAAAAATTCAATTTGGAATAGACATTCAGTTTCATTAAATAGAAAATACACCGGACACGTTCTTAAGAGCAAATACCGAGACGAATTGTGCGCATTCGGTCAGAGCATATCCGATGTTGTACAATTTAACATTCGATGACGTCAGGCAATGATATTGACTGACTACTCAATGAAAAGCGCATTTATGTTAGGGGAGTAAGTTTTATATTATTTTGAGATAAGAAATTTGAGTGTACCGTCTGGCAAGTCCTGCTTGTTGGCGAAGATGAGTATGATAGCGTCGCGCATCTCCCGATCGTTGATAATCCGATGCAGCTCCTGGCGAGCCTCGTCGATGCGATCTCTGTCCGCGCAGTCGACAACAAATATGAGGCCTTGGGTGCCTGAAAGCAATTGGTAGTGAAGAAGTTGAAAATGTGTCAATAATTCCCATAAATAACAGACCACCTTCTGTAGTCTCTAATAATAATAAAAACGGTTTGTTTCCTCGACATCGAGTGACCTACATGAGTAATTAGGCACAACGTCCACTCAGAAATAATCTGACGCGGACATACTAGGTAGCACTTTAAGGGTCACTTCCTCAAACGCTCAGGATTGCAGAAGATAAGACCAGCCAGTCGCGATTGGTGGTCAGATTTGTGCCGGTACTTTATTTAGGTAAGTAATTCGTTAACGTTGTTGGGAACGAGCGTTAATGATGTTGGACATCGCAGTACACTAATATTTTCTTAAGGTCGATATCGAGTCTACAGAATATTGCAAAAAAATACACTTGGAAATTTCATAGCATAGCGCTACTTTCGAACAGCAAGGAACGTTCGCTGATTACGAATTTCTTTTCTTGTTTCCCATATAAAACACATAAGCTAATTAGATTTTATTTTGTAACAAGGGAAAATCGTTCGGTATCATGGTCAAATTCTTCTCGTTAAAATGTCAGACTTATTTTTTTACAGTCTGTATAAATATTTCTTCGAAAGAAAGATAATTTGCGCATACTATTACCGAGCCAATCGCGTGGAAATTGCACGATTATGACAAAGAAAATAAATAACAAGCTTTATAAAGATGTTGGTCGAATCACAAATTACCTAGAGATGTCGTATTATGTAAATACTTACCTATAAAGGGAGGATTACTACTATTACATTCAAGATAAACCGGTTTTATGTCATTGTACATACGGGCAATATTTATTATTGTAAACTAAAATGATGGTGTTTAAGCAGGTAATATTACCTATATGAGTAGGTACCCTCAAAAATAAAGTATCACGATATTATATAAAAAAATCTTAATTACCTGTGTAGTAATGCCTCCATAGTGGTCGTATTTTGTCCTGTCCCCCAACGTCCCAGACGTTGAATTTGACGTTTTTATACGTGACGGTCTCTACGTTGAAGCCCACTGTCGGTATCGTTGTGACTGACTGACCTAATTTTAACTTATATAAAATAGCTGACACGCTTTTGGTTAAGGAAAAAAATATTACACTCCACAAATCAAATTTGAATGACAGACAGTACATTTTTCAACAAAGTGCTTTTTATGTTGTCTTATCTGTAACCCAGTGTACGGACTAATCACTATCATAACCAAGTTAATTAATTGGATGAACGTTATTATGAAAACATATACATATATTATTATTGTCGAATCTACGTAAAACTTATTTGTAATGAAACTAGCTGCCGCCAAGCACAAATGATTACTGTGTTCCGGTTTTGAAGGGCAAGGGTGCTGGTGAAATTACATGTTCATGGGACTTGTCAACTTATGTGTCAGGCTCAGACTGACGGGCGCAGTGGCAGTAACCCTCAGATATTTTTAAAACTCTGAGTGATATCGCAACTGTCATGGATAGAAGTGTCGTTTACTACCAGGCGCACGACTTGTACAACCTGTCGCTTGATATGATTAAAAAAAACTTCGAAGAGTGCTGCCATAATAACAAAAACGTTTGTTCTATTAAAGTACGACAAAAAATACGCTTCAATTTCTTAAGTTCAGGGTTTTCTTAATGTACAGTTATTTCAAATGACACGCGACAGGCTGAACTTCAGAGTACCATTCGACTAAGCCGGTTCACGAAATTAGACTACAACAAATTTTGCACCAGAAATATGTGTCAGTTCGCGGGTAAAGGTACATTATGGTAAATCTTCGAGATACATGCACTTTTGGTGTATGTACTGTATACTTATTCTCATTTATTGAAAACCCTAAGCAAGAAAAGAGTAATTCCTTTAAAATTCCGCCAGGTACTTCTATCTATGCAAGGATTGAACAGTTTCATTTCAAAGTTTTATCAGTAAGTGGGTCAAAATACATTACGGTTACTTTTATTAAAAATAATGTCATTAAAAATTAAAACATAGTAGTGAGTATATACTTTTTTTGAAGTATATACTCACTACACATTCACTTTAGAACAATTAATACCTCTTAAAATTCCGTTATAATTTAATTTTATCTGTAAGTAGATCTCCACACCTACTAGTGTCTCATTAGAGACGCGCAATAGTTTTATTTTAAATTGTGTCAGTCCATAGGTAAAGGTACATAACGCGGTTAATTTATTTAAAAATTACTGTAGTAGATGTAGTAGACTAAACATGCGTTCTATAATGCATGTTATTAAAAATCCAAAAATACCTTTTTTTTTTTTCAGTATATACCCAATACTTTCATTTTTTAAAGAAACTCGACTTGCTCTTGACCACTATCTAGACCTGGAGTAAAGATAGAATCTACGAAGGAACAAGCTCGCCCAGAAGATGCCTATTCAGTCGCATCTTAAAAATATTCGGTTTGTATATTTTCGGAAACACAGAAGCAGGCAGAGAATTCCATTCTCGGACTGTGCCCATCATAAAAGATGACGAAAAGTGCTTAGTCAATTCTTTAATACACATTCTCTTTAGTGCAAGAATTAATCCCTCTTAAAATTTTGCCATTATTTACACTTATCTATACGTGGATGTATACGTCTCTAGTACTACAATCATGGGTTTCATTTTAGAATGTATCAATCTGCGGGTGAAGGTACATTATTGGGTTTCTTTTTATTTACATGTACTTCTAAAATACGTACCCGATACACATTCACTTTAGTGCAAGAATTAATTCCTCCTAAAATTCCGTCATTAGGCAATTTTATTTGTAAGTATAGGTAGGTACACATCTGAAAGTGTCCGTACAAGTACAGACACATAATTCATTTTCAATTACTTTATGTTTTATTTTCTTGCTACAATATCTACTCTAAAATAATTATAGTTTTCTCTTGTCAATTATTAATGTTAATCGGAATAACATGACATTTTATGGAACTGAATGCAACGTGAAATGCGCTCGTAATCACAGAGCGTGAAATTGTTGGACTCGTATACTGTTGTTATATTTTAGATATTTCCAATGCAGCGATGTTTTCTTTGCCTAATGCAGCCGTACTCAACAGAGCTGCATGAGCTGCATGTGACTCGCCAAACTTATATCTTACACAAAACCTAATTTATTTTATGATACCACGCAATACGACTATCCATAGCAGTTGCAGTGCTACTCAGAGCATTAAATCGCAAAAATCTTAGGGGCACTGCCACTATGCCCGTCATTCGAGACGTTAGTTGACAAGTCTCATGTGCCTGTAATTCCACCAGCACCCTTACCCTTCCAAACAGGAACGTAGTAATGGTCATATTACTGCTTGGCAATATGCTAGCATAGCAACAAACCAGCTTCTCACAACTCAATGTTCACTCACAATTAAAATGTGCGGACATCACCAGCAACCTATTATTCTTCCTACACCTATATGGGAAAATAGAGAGAGCGCTGCCAATTGCACCCCAGACAGCTCACACAAGCCTTTTGAGAACCGGATGAAGTATGTCAAATAGACTGATTTCTGACCTAAGTCAGTACCTACCTGAGAAGGTCCCTGTGCTTGCATAGGCTATATATAGTGCCCTTCTCGTATACCTTAAGAGTCGGTAGGGAGGGTCACTATAATCAAAACTTGCTGAGTACCGAAAGATAAGAGTTAAGGCGTAGTCTGCTAACTTAAACCCTCTCTTTTTGGAGATTTCACACATATTCCAAGGGTATTTGTGAACCTTCTTTAACGTGCTTCTTTCATTGCGATTTTTCTCTTCACCATCAGCGAAATATTGCTACTAAACATTGACAAATATACGTATTGGCGCATTTACACCAAGTCGTCGAAGGCGACAAGCTACCCGTGAATATACCCGTAATAGTGACACCCGTAATAGTGAGTCGTCTGACGACGGTAGTTTGCAGCTGAAGTCGACCGAAAGCGACTGGATGCCGAAGGTCGGCAGACGACCCGGTGTAAATGCGCCATAATTTAGTCTCAGGGATCCGAACATTGAGAAGCAACCGTTTTCCAACTAAGCTACCCCCGCCTCCACCACCAATACCCTACAAAATACGGTTTTATCCTTTCCTAAAATAATCTAACTGAATATTAAAAAAAGATATGAGAAAGGTACGAACGCAGAATATATGAATATGTTAATTCGGTACCTTCACACCTGCTACCGGAGTATTTCATAACAAATAAAATATTTGTACCATTTTTACTTGCGTATGGTGTTTTGACTTTTAAAATAATGAATACTACAAAAAATCTTATGGAATTCTCATTCTTCATAAAAGGTTTTTCGATTCGACGCTTATAAGGTTTATGCGTTAGAGTTTAAGCCCTATTCATTTGGAAATACACTATCTGCTTAATTTTCTTAAGTTCATGCATGGGTATTATTTCGCGTTGAACTTAAAGACTAATTTTAGACCTTTCGGTGACTAGTCTATAATAATTGTGCACCAGAGCGCAAAAACTATAAATAAATAATGGCCCCAACCTCGCATTCGGAAGTATCAAATTTTATTTTGAATAAAATACAGAGCTTTCTATTGGTTAAAACAATCAAGTGACAACATTGGGACGGTATACGATTAATCAACTTGCTTATTTTTAACTAATTCAAATAATGTGTCTTCAAAATTGGAACGTGAAACGTGGAACTTCAAAACTGGAGCATTATTGCTTGGCGGCAGAAACATGGCGTACTTGTCTGGACAAATTGTTTTGTAAGAAGCTCTACCGCTACTCTAGAAAGCCACTGATTTGTATCAGACCCCGGTTAAAGATACCTTATGATCTGTTTTCAGTTCCATATACTTTTAGAGTATGTAAGTATGCAATATATATTCATTTAGTGAAAGAATTACCTCCCTTCAAATTCCGCCACAAGGTGGATCGACACTGGTGGATGTGTTTTGATAGTAAAGGATACTAGTTTTGCCAGCTGCGTCGAGCCCCAGCATTAATATCCGCATCTCCTTGTTGCCGAAAATTTTCGATAGCAATTTCCCCATTATGCCGAGCTCGCCTCAACCGTGCAACTGTAATAGAAGAAATGGAAATAAAATATAATACAATTTGACAAAAAGGTTTATATTTTCTTAATTTTATTATTAATTGCACCACGAACCAAATTTCATGTTACGTTGTATACTTTTAAAAAACGATGAAACGTTAACGTTGTTTACTTTTAAAAAACAATGTAAGCAATGGCTCCTATCTGTACAAAAATCCTGGTCCCCAAATAAAACTCCCAGATGCACAAAATTTTGTGCATATTTTTATACATTTGTATAAAAAAAAATTACACAGACTGCCATCAAATTTTAACTTATTGCTAGTTATTCCTTAAAGGTAGGTTATTATTTGGTGTACGCTCCGCATAATAGCTTAGTGCAGCAAGCGAACAGCTAAGTAGCTAGCTACAGGTGAAAACTGAAAATCAGCAGTGCCGAGTCTTTAACCTTTTTGTCCACATCATTCAATAGCTTTTTTTTATTCGTGTTTCTTATGCTTTGAAGAAATAAATGCCTTTTTATTATTATTTACACATTTGTACACAATGTAGTACATTTTGATTTTCCTATAAAATAATAATAACATCAAATTTACGACATTAGCAATTCCAGGTACACCTCACTTAGCAAATTATAATTTTGGCTAACAGGAAAATTTATCGAAACATTATTTTATTCACTCGGTCAATATCGACCATGGGCCTGTTACGTTGATTTGTTCAGGATCCAGACAAAAATATTTCATTTCTACTTGTTTTATTAAACTATAATATAGTATGACGTAATTTACCAAAATGTTAAGAAAGTGGAATTTGCTTCTTTAAAAAAAATTCTTAGTAATGGGTACATTCATGGATATTTCTCTACCAAAGTTCCAATTACGTCATTGAAGTCAGCCCTATATTAAGCAAATATAAAATTTATTGGATTTACCACGATTGTTGTTGGTTTAGAATAAATTACCTTGTTTAAAACTTTTCCTTCCCTAAACTATCAAGGCAAGTTTCGAAGTACGACAGTCGTAAGCAAGATTTGCGTAAGTTATTTAATTAAACTTCTTCACTTGAACACATTTCTTCTTGAACTTCTAATCAACTTCAAGTGACGGAGTATTAGAGACTCATGATTAACATATATATGTATATGTACATTATTGAAGTTAGGAGTCTTGGAATTGGAAATTTACTTTCTCGTGTAACCTTAAGTACAGTGGTTCAGATTACTAAGGCCTTTAGATCCCCTCAAGTTACACTACTCATTACGTCACGTCTATTCTATAGCTTCTGAAGGCTTGGATTACAAAAAAATTCATAAAATTGACCCTTTACGCTCTTTTAGCTCTTTCTACCTTTTTATGTATTAAAATAGTTATTGTAAATGATGACAGTAAGCAAATAACTATTTACAATAAACAATTTTCTAGAGCTTTTTATGTTACGATGAATTTTGTATCACAATTAATGAACAGTAGTGTTTAACCATTTTGACCAACTCAAATACAGGAAATGAAACTATTTTTTCGGATCCAAATAGCGTATATTTGTTTATAGGTACGTACAAACCAACGTTTCGGGCCTTTTACAGGTCATGGCTAAGTCTGGCGTTTTAGATCCGAAAAACAATGTCTTTTCCTATGTGTAAAAATCGTGAAAAACTAAGAACTTAATTCCAATATATTAGCAAATAATCTATGACTCAATGTTACTTCTCAGCATTACCATGTACATTCCACTGTATACACGAGAATTTAAAATAATACATACCCTTAAAAAATATGTTGCTATGCGTCATAACCTAGCATAGTCTATCTCCTCAAGGGTCCGATCTAAAAGCGATATTTTTTTAACCATGATATTTCAAGCTATGTTGTTAAACATTGAAAAAACATTCCGGAATTATAAAAAGTTTGAAAAGGGTCCATACAATTTGCGCATGATAATAAATTCGCATAATTTTTCGTGACTCATTATGCGAAGTTTATTATTATGCAAAATTATTATGTCGCGTTATATAGAGCCATATGAAAGACGGTACCTATCCAATGTTCCAGTTAAATAGACATGCAGGACATTATGCATAATATTATTAAGTAACAGTATTTAATTCATTATGTAATAATTATTACATACGAACTTGTTATTATTCAGTAAGTCTGAAAAGTAACGAAAATTGTCGAAGCTTATGCGTTTGGCGTGATGTCATCTTCAGTACTTGTGATATCGGAAGCCGTTTATCATACTCCGCTGACAATGTGGGCTCTACTGATAGCCGCTTCAGTTTTTTTAATGTAAAAATAATAAAAAGCTTTGTATAACCAGTAACAAAAAACTGAACGTTCTATGCAAATGGAAACAAGTCTAGGTGTAACGTTTCTGCGCTCGCGTCTGTACTTATTGATCTTTTGGCTTATTGGCTTATATTCTGGCGATAAAGACACTTTAATGCCAATGCCTGACAAAGACGACGAGACTGTGTTGTATTGTATTAAGTACATTATTACGTGATTATATAGTAGTGATGCAACAGACCTTTGCTTCTGCTTCCGCAACTGCGGAAGTTCGGCACGCATTTCCACATCTGTTTCCGTTGCTGTTTCCACAACTTTTATAACGGCACTTTAATCGGAAGTATACAATGTACGCGATGCATCAGGCGCTAGTGGATTACTTGGCAGTGGAGCGCGCGTTTTTTAGTAGTTTTGTGTTGTGTAATAATTACACTTAAATTATGAAACCTAAAACAAGCCTACTGAGTACTATTTTATTGAGTTCTTTACAGTATTTACGATTCCGCATCCATTTTCACTAAAATTTACTATTAACGTCTGTTTCCGTTAAAACACTTCCGTTGCATCACTATTATATTGTACAAAAACCAGTAAACCAGTAAAGTATTTTAGACGCTCGCTCGCTTTCCCATGGCCTAAAAGGTTAATTTTAAATAGGCAATTGCAGTTGACCGGAGTTAGGGACTCAAGAACAATACGATGTTATTATTATTATTAAGAAAGCCGCGCTTCTTAGAATAATTTAGACCTTTTCTTATAATATGTAAGGTAAATTGAATTCCCAACAACTAGCAATTACCACTCACATTCAACTCATATCATACCGCTGTTAAATTTATAATTCGATCGATTTAGAACTGCTTCAACGTTAAAGCAATCACCTTATTTTAATTTACTGCAAACAAGAAATTAAAACGAATTGGCTATGGTAACTTTAAAGGCTAGAAAGTAAAGAGAAAGTAACAAGATTCACCTTGAGTTCTGGTGAAGGCGATGAGTAAAAGCCATAAACACATCAGCCTATAAAACTAGCCTAGGCAACTCTCGAGTTGTGTACAAGGTGTTACAATAATAATCGCCAAGCAGCACGTTTCTTCAGCTGATTGTAAATATCATGTCTTAATTATAATTTAATTTATAAAAAATAGTTTTGTGGAATTACATCTATTTGCCAAGTTTTATTGAATTCAGTTAACGGAAAGTTGGTGAATTCAATAAACCGATTTCAGCCCCTGATTTGACCCCTTCTAAGATGGAGTATATTTTTTAAATTTGAATGGAAACTACTAGTGAAGTACCCCCTTTCCAACAAAAAAAAAAGAATAATCGAAATCGATTCACAAATGTCAGAGTAACAGACGAATTGAGAACCTCCTTTTTTGAAGTCGGTTAAAAAACAATGCGAACATACTATAAATCATTAATATTGTATTGTCGGATTGTTAAAATTTTATAGTACAATGTCAAGGAAGAATATATTATGATAGTCACTATGTATATTGTCGATTCCCTACTGAAGCGCAACTTCCTTAATAATAATTAGGTAGCCTATAGTCCCACTGCTGGACACAGGTCTCCCCTCTGACAATGAGAGGGCTTGGGTTGTAATTCCCACATGGGCCCAATGCGCACTGGTCACTTCAGACACATCATTAAATTGCTTTGCAGATGTGTGCACGTATCCTCACGATGTTGTCCTTCACAGTAAAGCTCATGGTAAATTTGAAATTAAATTTCGCACACAAATTACGAACAGAGATTCACGCCCGGATTCGAACCCACGACCCTCTCTCTACTTGAGAGGAGGTAGGTCAAATCAGTAGCCTACCACAGCTTTCTTATCTTTCTTTTTTCACGGTCCGCGCAAAATTAGACCATTCAGTGTTCTTCTCATATACTTAACATGGTGCCCTTTAACCTGAATTATCTCCGGTCACAGGTCAAAATTTATACTGTGGGCTTCGGTGAGACCGATAGAATTGTATTTTTTGTGCTAGTTTCAAATGTCATGTATGTAGGTTGAGGAAAAACAAACTGACTCACTCAATTCAGTTCATAAAACGTGTAATTTAAGTGGATGCCTAGAAAGCTTCACTCGCTAGCTGCGCGTTGATAATTACGTTACTATGCTACAACAAAAAATTTCATACCAAATATCGTCAAAATAATAAAAAAAATACAAATTCTTGAAAACAATTTCCTCGCCACTAATTCTATATTATTCACATTTCTGCTGGTGATTGTACTCACGGAATTAATAGGGGTTAAATATGAAATTGCCGATTTATCGTAATAATATAAATATATCGTAATAAAAAACTGATAATCTGACGTAGGTGCACCCGTCATATTGACTGTCGGGTGTACCTTAGATATTGGTATAACTTCATTCTGATGGATGTACAAACAGAAGTACTAAATAGTACAATTTAAGTACATTTTTTTATGTCAAATTTGTCAGGATCCGTTAAGGTACACCCGTCATTCTGAGCCTCTCGTTAAAATGACCTTCCAATTAGATGGCAGTAATGTATAGACATCGATGGTAAATGCTTTGATTAAACAAATATATTTTATTTTACAAAAAAAAATATATTTTAATTTTTGAGTAGGTACCTACGAAACGGCAATTGCATACTTTAACCCCGAATACATTATTTTTTTATAATTAAACATTTTGGATAATTAATTAACGAAATAAAAGAAAAAAAGCCTTACATACGAAATGTGCGTAATT